CTGATGATCAAGTTACTCTTTATATATAAAAAAAATGACCAAAAAGGTTTTTAATTACTTTTTAAATAATATTAGCTTTATTTATTTATTAATTTTTATTAACATACCTTCTCGTCAAATAATCTTTTTCTCATTTTATATTTTTTAAAAAATAAAAAGAGAAGGACAAAAAATGAATGAATAGAACGGTAAAATTTTGAATATTTTATTTATATAATTTTTTTTGTTTTGTTTTTTTTTTATTTTGAGAAGGATTCGGTTAGATCATGAGGGGTTTTTATACAAATTATAAAACGATTTACTTCATTGCAAAATAATCAAGGACAAAAATGAAAGAAATGCTTGGATGGCATTACAAATGTTCCCACAACACGTTGTGCGGATGAAGTCTAATTTAAGTTTGGCATGGTATTCGGGATAGCACATACGATTCTTAATAACAGATTTGGAAATAAGAATTTAAATTATATATCCTTTTTAATAAGGGTTTTATTGCAAAAAAAAAAAATACGGTTTGTAAACAAAGATTTTCGGATGGATTTACAGGACAGGTTTCAATTTTAAGATGGAGCTAATCCAAATTAGACCACAAATGAAAAGAAATTTTTTTGATTTTGATTAAATTTTGCTTTATTTAAGAAAAAGATTAAGGTACCTCATCTTAACGTGTGACTCATTAATGGTCATGAATGATAATCTTACACGAATTACGTATTCGTAAATATAATGAATGCTCTTTCTTCCATACCTTTATATGTATAGATTGATTTTCCATGTTTCATGATTTTTTAACTTAAAATAAATTATAGAAAGTGAGCTACTTGCTTACAATCAAATTTGGATATTCTGAATGGACGAGGAATACGTAATAATAGGATTTTAGAAATTTTAAAAAAAGGGTCCGTTTTTTATTAAACTTAATATTTCCAAATGTAATATTCATTCAAATGAAGATCATTTATTAGGAAATTTGACGTTCCGATTCTTCTATCCAAAATAAGATTAGAACGTGTCTAAATCAAAAAGCTTAAGCTTACTGGAGGGAGTGGGACTTCTGTTCTTTCGCGATTGAACATTAAATAACATAATAAATTGTCCATTTCTAAAACAATTTGTTTTTTATAACCGTTCTACAATAAAAAGAGACCCGCGCTTAACAATTTGCACTACTTTATTTGGCATAGTCATAATTATTCTCGAAATGCTAGGATTTTCACATTTTAAAATTTTAAAGATCGAGATGAATCCATTCATGCGATAACAATAACATTTTAATTCTTCAAAGTTATTTATTTGTTGAATATATAATTGCTTGAAAACTGTTTGTTCTCGACACGTTTTCTTGCATGATAACCGTGCATATTACGGAAGGAGTATAATATGAACCAGTCTGATGGTTCTTTAGTAAGGTTCTCGCTGCTTGCATATGTGCTGCTGTATGTATATTGAGGAATTGATTCTTATATACGAATTAAATATTAAAAAAAATTTTACGTCGGTCAAGGATCTCTCTTTATATGATCGTTTAGTATATACATAATGAAATTCAAATGGTAAGGATCAAAATTCGATTAACGCGAACTCGTAATTTAAAGTCTCCTTTTTGACCTATTCCCCAATTTGCTTATCTCTTAAAGGGATTTTTGAAAGGATGAATGGCTACGTGTTACCAAAGAATGTTCCAAGATTCTATAAATAAGGATGTAAGGGGATTGTCGATCCTTCATGATTTTTTGCTCCTTAAATTTGTTTATTTTTAAATCATTGATCGACGAACCATTCTTTATTGGATTCATCGAATTACACTTTTTATTAGATTAATTTTGATTATTAAAATATTACTTTTTGATTCAATAATTTACATGATAAAAAAAAAAATATTAATTGCAATAAAAAATGCTCAATTTTTAAATTTTTGTATCAAATTGGTTAAGGGTGTGGTATAATTATAGTTATCATCTTTAGTGGATGGATCATAAAGATAAACATCATCTTGCACCTCGGCCCTAGCTTCTCGTGCTTGTTGTCTAGCCTCTCGTTCAAGTTGTCTTTGTTTGGAATTCCAAACACTTTTCAAGTCATTTAGCGAATATTTACGAGGATCCTTTTGAATTTTAGTTTTGATAGATTTCCATTGAATGTCCCTGTTTGCATCCAGATAGTCTTTAGCCGCTTTATAAATGATGTCCTTATCTTCTTTAGTGAAAAGTTCATTGATATCTAAAAAAATGGAATAAAGAAATTAATCCAATTAATCCAAGCATCTTTTAAAAAAAAAAGAACTTTAAAAAGATACAATTGACTTACTTGATGAATCTTGTATTTTCGACCGACTAAAAATTCCGTTAAAGATTTTTATTTTTTTTTTGCGATCGTTAACTTCCAAAGATTTGTTCTTAAGGCCTAGAAATGAATCTTTGCGTTCTTTTATGGATTTTAATGAGAATATTTCAATCATTGTAATAAAATTGAATTATTTTTCTTAAACATTATACTTGAGGAGAAAAAGGTTCTCCAGTTCTTTTATAACTAGTTATGATATTATAAATAGTGTTCGCACGCGATTCCAATCCAATCCGGCAAATCAAGTCATTAACCTTAAATGATAAAGTTCATTATATTATATTTTTGGTATATCCAATCCTTATTTAAAAACTTTTTTTTTGAATCCAAATACTTATTATTTATTTTTATTATCCAATCTTGTTTAGTGGATATCCAATCCAAATACCATGATTATAAAATGCTCGATCCTACATGAAAAATAAATAATAAAGACACATTTAATGAAACCGACGGTCATATGAAACATGTTCAATTTGTGTCACCATGTACTAGACAATCGGGTTGCATTACATCACAAGTGAGAATTCAATGCTTCGAACAAGCATAAAGGAAAAGAAAGGTGCGAATTACAGCATATTTATACCAAAATAGAATGGATAAATCCAATTAAACTATAAAATATAACATTAATAATAATTCATGAGCGGCAATTTCAAGAATAAATTCTAAATTCGCTTGATTTTTAATATTGTTAAAAAAAAATTCTAGTATTTTATAGATTATTTGAGATTCACTATATCATTATGTTCTGATTTCGTATACTTTTTTCTTTCCCTTTTTTTAACAGAGCATGTTAAATGTTGTAAATGGTAAGAATTAAAATAAACGAATAAACATAAAAATAAGAAAGATTGAATATAAAGTATTATCAAAATATATATATGTAAAAACCGTATAAATAAAACAAAAAAATATATATATACATATATATAATAAATATCGGACCATGAAAATCTGCATAGTCCTAATAGACTCAAAAGATAGGGTTTAATTTCGGCAAATAAAATTGTGGAGGATCCGGATTGGGTTCTAAAACTGCAGGTCGTTCTTTTATTCGTATTATTTCATTAAGTTGCCTTTTTCTTGTTGGGTACCAAAAGTTCTTGATTTGGTTTTCGGAGCGTAATTTACCAAATTGTTCTTTCATTATAGGAATTAATTTGGTCAGGGGAATGACGCCGTTTTGTCTTTGATTTTCTTCAGCCCAATTGATGATAAATTCTTTCTCATCGTCACTTAAAGGAATTTTACAAAGATTTGGTTTGAGACTATTTTCCCAATGATGCTGAATTTGTTTTGAAGTGTAGGGTTTCTCTTTAGGTATCTCTTTAGAAAGCTCATTAGCAATCGTCGCATAACGACGCTTATTTGGATGTTTCAATCCTTCCATACGACTTAAAATAAACTTCTCGCTCTCCTTGTCAAAGATACTTAGTTTCATCGTAATCTTATTCTTTATTGTAAGATTTATAAATATCCAAAATAAAATTTTATGTTATTAATTATAATAAGAAAAGAAAATAGGTTAGAAATTTGTTATTGTCCAGAATTTAAACGGTAATTTATCGACCCTTTTTATTTACCAAATCCTTTCAATCGGAATTTCTGACTAAAGGATCTTCGTGCTGCATGCATAACAAAAAAAAATAGGTTGATTCGGATTTTGATGGTTTCACTAAAAATTAATAATACCAAATTTCGGTAAATAGAATGAATCTCTGACAACTTTAGAACATTCATGATTTTAAACTTATTTACACACGCTTCCATGTTTTCTAAAACGAACTTTCTTATCATCCTTGTAAAAAAACTGGATCCATTCCTAATATACGTTTTTCAATAAACGGATGTTTCATATAACAAGATTCACCATAAAAATAATCACCAACCTATTTTTTGTCTCTACCAAGCAAAGATTCTGTACATGGTTGAAATTAAATAAATTAAATGTAAATTTACTGATAATGAGATGATCGACAATGTACGCCTAATCCAATTCAATCTCAATCCAAATGACGCAAAAATTGCCGTTAATGTGATTTTACCAATAAGTTTTAAACCCATTTCATCTAGTAGATTTTACTTTTAATTTTCCAAGACAAAACGTCATAGTGAAAAAAATGTTGGTAATTATTTGATGTTCACGATTGATGTTACACATTTCTTCACTCGCATATCATTATTTACATTGAAAATTACTCGACCTTACAAATAAAGGTAATCATAACTTTTTAATGCAATGAGAAAATTTTACAAATGAAAAACCGTAAAACGATCAAATTATTATTATTGCCGATCCTAAAGAAAAAAATTTTTTTTTTTGTTAAACAATAATATGGACATTGCCCTATGAATTCCTATGTTAAATAGCAAACCAACCAAATCAACCAAAATTTGGACCTAATAATACGAATATTTATGTATTAACAACTTCATTGACTTATAATCAAATTAATTCTCTTCATTTCTTTGGCCAAACCAATCAACATCTTTACTATTTACATATATTAATAAACAATAAACCCCAGGTCCCCGGGTAAATTTCAAAATTTTTAATGTTACGTGAACCGAAAATGTTAATTTGCGTGGCCGTAATATGACACTTTAGCTTCATGTGTCCGGTGACATTTAACGGTTCAGTGAGGTGTGATCTATCAATTTTTAAATTTTTGTATCAAATTGGTCAAGGGTGTGGTATAATTATAGTTATCATCTTTAGTGGATGGATCATAAAGATAAACATCATCTTGCACCTCGGCCCTAGCTTCTCGTGCTTGTTGTCTAGCCTCTCGTTCAAGTTGTCTTTGTTTGGAATTCCAAACACTTTTCAAGTCATTTAGCGAATATTTACGAGGATCCTTTTGAATTTTAGTTTTGATAGATTTCCATTGAATGTCCCTGTTTGCATCCAGATAGTCTTTAGCCGCTTTATAAATGATGTCCTTATCTTCTTTAGTGAAAAGTTCATTGATATCTAAAAAAATGGAATAAAGAAATTAATCCAATTAATCCAAGCATCTTTTAAAAAAAAAAGAACTTTAAAAAGATACAATTGACTTACTTGATGAATCTTGTATTTTCGACCGACTAAAAATTCCGTTAAAGATTTTTATTTTTTTTTTGCGATCGTTAACTTCCAAAGATTTGTTCTTATCTTTCTTAAACATTATACTTGAGAAAACTGTTTTTATATAAATAATTCTTGCGACGCGATTAAATTTTAAGAGGTAAATCAAGATTTAGAACCATAAATGAATTCACCTGTTTGTGATATTAAAAAATATTATCTCGTATATATTTATTATTTAAAGTCGATAGCTAATTATTTTTAATTCCGACCCTGCCCCCCGATACTAAGTAATTTAACAAAAAAAATAAATAAATAAAATTTTGAAACCGAAGAGATTACATGAGTAAATATATAGGCGATGGGATAAAATAATAAAATCAAAATCAATTGCTGATTCGGATATACCGCAGGTCAAGAAAATCCGGATATTACTGGGTCTGGTATTGAACAAAGTGGCACAGTATTACACTTTCTAATAATGGATAAAAAAAAAAAATAAAAAAATTCGTTTATAAACAACTTTTGTGGGGGGTTGAGATAATTGAGGCTATTTATTAAAAAAAAACTTATCGATTTGTGTCACCTCAGCTTTCTTTGAAAAACAACTTCCAATAGTCAAGTTAATGCTTAGATTCTTAAGCTAACTATTGCATATAGCATGCTGGTTTAATTTTATCAAGGCAAGGTAAATTGAAAATTTAATGAATTTTTCCCAAACAATATTAAATAAATAATTCACGAGCACCAGGCTCAAGAATAAATTTTAATTCACTGTACATAATTTATTAAATTACATTTTATATATTGATTTTAGATTATAGTAAATTTTTTTTTTTGAATAAACAGTGTGTAATATACTTTTAGAAAGATAATAAAAAAATATATTTGAACAAATTTTCGCTATTTGATTTATGATAATTTTGGCAGGATTGTATTTATCTTTATTAAAGAAATTATCTATTTTATTTTTATTTTCATCTTTTTGCACTTCAACTTCTTTTTGCACTTCAACTTTTTGCGATTCAACTTTTTGCACTTTACCTTTTTGCACTTCAACTTTTTGTACTTCATCCTTTTGCACTTTATCGTTTTGCACTTCAACTTCTTTTTGCACTTCAACTTTTTGCACTTCATCTTTTTGCACTTCAACGTTTTGCACTTCAACTTTTTGTACTTCAACCTTTTGCACTTTATCTTTTTGCACTTCAACTTTAACGTTTTGCACTTCATCTTTTTGCAATTCAACTTTTTGCACTTCATCCTTTTGCCCTTCATCTTTTTGCACTTCAACTTTTTGCAATTCATCTTTTTGCACTTCAACGTTTTGCACTTCAACTTTTTGCACTTCATCTTTTTGCACTTCAACGTTTTGCACTTCAACGTTTTGCACTTCAACGTTTTGCACTTCAACTTTTTGTACCTCATCTTTTTGCACTACAACTTTTTGTACTTCTTTTTGCACTTTTATATCTTGCACTAGAACGTTTTGCACTTCATCTTTTTGCACTTCAACGTTTTGCACTTCATCTTTTTGCACTAAATATTCGATTATCAAATCATCTTGCGATTCAGCTCTAGATTCCCGTGTTAATTGTCTTTGCGTTGAATACCAAAAGTTTTTCAGATCATTTTGCGAACAATATACACAACGAATCCATTCAATTGGAGGTTTTTTGCTTAGTTGCTCAACAACCCATTCAGAAATAAATTCCTTATCTTCATTAGAGAAAATATCATGATTTCTATTAAATCCGAGTTTTTGGATTTTCAATGATATTTGTACTTTCGACCGACTAAATATTCTTTGAAAGATTTTTGATCTTTCTTTTAATATTCTTTTTAAAGGTTTGTTCTTAAAGCCTAGAAATGAATCTTTGCGTTCTTTTATGGATTTTAATAAGAATATTTCAACCATTGTAATAAAATTGAATTATCTTTCTTAAACATTATACTTGAGAAAACTGTTTTTATATAAATAATTCTTGCGACGCGATTAAATTTTAAGAGGTAAATCAAGATTTAGACCATAAATGAATTCACCTGTTTGTGGATATTAAAAAATATTATCTCGTATATATTTATTATTTACAGTCGATAGCTAATTATTTTTAATTCCGACCCTGCCCCCCGATCCTTAGTAATTTAACAAAAAAAAAAATAAATAAAATTTTGAAACAGAAGAGATTACATGAGTAAATATATAGGCGATGGGATAAAATAATAAAATCAAAATCAAGGATAATACCGCAGGTCAAGAATATCCGGATACTACAGGGTCTGGTATTGAACAAAGTGGCACAGCATTACACTTTCTAATAATGGATTAAAAAGATTCTGATTATTTACAAAAAAAAAAATAAAAAAATTCGTTTATAAACATGGAAACGTTTGTGTTATGGGATATTTTTTATATGAATGTACGAAAAGACTTACCACTTTTGTGGGGGGGGGGGGTTGAGATAATTGAGGCTATTTATTAAAAAATAACTTGAAATTGATTTCCGGAGTTGAAGTATGAATTATCGATTTGTGTCACCTCAGCTATCTTCTTTGAAAGACAACTGCCAATAATCAAGTTAATGCTTAGATTCTTAAGCTAACTATTGCATATAGCATGCTGGTTTAATTTTATAATACTACTTCACAAATTATATCAAGGCAAGGTAAATTGAAAATTTAATGAATTTTTCCCAAACAATATTAAATAAATAATTCACGAGCACCAGGTTCAAGAATAAATTTTAATTCACTAAATAAATCTCTGACTTGTACATTTTTTTAAAAAAAAAATTATTTTTTAATCTGTTTGAGGTTCGCATTACAAATCTAAACAATAATTCACCACATCATTATGTAAAAGTTATGACTGATGGTGCATATTATGTTAAAGGTTGATTATTAAAATAAAAGTAAACATCGAAAAAAAAAAAAAAGTAAGAAAACTAAAATTCATGAGCATGACAAAATTTAGGAAAGACTTTCATTCATATTGGTACGTTTCACCAAAATTTTAATAGCACCAAAATTTTCGTTTTTGCTTGTTCGCTATAAAAAGAAAATCTGACAACTGTAGAACATTCAAATAGAAAATAACCGATGAGATGACATAATTTACAACGAACTTTCTTTTCTGTAGTTCTGAACCGTACTGACCAACACCTGGTTTTCCAAATTGCGTGGCTTAATTTGGATCATTGTCTCAAAATGTCTTTTAAAGATTATTGACGTCTTATACTGCTGTATCTTGGATCACAAGCGTCGTATTTTGATCATGTAAATTACCAAGTAGATAAAAAGGCTTCAATCGACATTCTGAAGTGGTAATTTAATATATTATATTATATTATTATTATTATCTATTGTCGAAGAATTGATTTAGAAAGATTTTTTATTTTTATATAATTTAGACAGTCTGTCAACTAAAATATTAAATAAATTTATTAATTTGGAGAATTTGTTGGAAGTGCTTGGATGATGATAGTTATAAATGATCATTCATTAAACAAATATGTTCTTTTGAATTAGCTAATTAGTACAAAAAAATTAGAATGTTCATTTCAATGTGACTAATAATAGAACGAAAGGGATAGCGACAATTAAATGATGATTTCGAAAATTTTATTCAAATACACCCAAGTGAATAAAGTGAAAATAGTTAATCACTGAATTATATTTTTATGAGTAAATATGGGGATAAGCATTGAAAAAGGATATATATATATATATATATTTTTAAGTGTACATATTAGTTAACGATTACAGTCGTTGAATTTTGATCCAAATAAAATTTTCCGCTATCCGGAAAATACTAGAATTGGAGAGAAGTTCATTTTCATCAAGTTTCTTCGGCCTTTGACGACCTTTCAAAACAATGATTTTTTTTTTTTGAATCAAAAATTTTTTTAAAATATTTAAAATGTTTAAAGTTACAAAATTATTTTCAGGGATGCATTTTAAGGTTCCTCCATCATTGTCCTCCACATAATCAAAGCATTTAAGCATCAATGGGTGGGTTTTCGATTATTTATTTCTATTTTAATCCTCACAAAGAAATCTTTTCATTATGTTTTTTGATTGTGCAAATTGTCACGTTGTATAATTACTACATTCGATATTTCATTTAGCATCGTACTACCATTGTATGAGACCCGTTATGCAATTTTTTTTTTTAATAAATACTCGCATTAAATTCCCTTTTTTTAAAAGATTCATCACACTCGTCGATTTTTTTATAACCAATTATTATTTATTACTTTTTTTCATTTACAATTTTTAAAATTTATATATATAATAAAAAAAAACCCTCCATCAAGGAAAGAGATATAAGAAATAAAAAATATTAGAATTATGCATGTTACAGTGAAATTAAAACAACAATGATGCTAATACATAAATACAGATATAGATATAATATCTATCAGTAGAAAATCTTGGGATGAACAACAGATCTCCTTGCACCAGATTTACTTTGATATTCTGAATCCGTATAATGAGGTCTTGGAAGCGTAAAGGAATGGTAAATAGGGGTAGGTGTAGCTGGCATGACATTATTATTATGGTTATATGATCTTTCCATACTTTTTAAAGAATATGAATTTAGTGATGGCATAATATCATAATCAAATTCATCTTTTGGAGGAGCAGCAGCGCATGTTACAGCCACATTATCGTCGATTTCGCATTCAGGAGTGGGGCATGTCATGGTAACTTCATCATCTTCAAATTCATCTTCAGAAGGTGTGTCAGAAATTCCTTGTCCAACTTTTCTAGATAAACGCTTTAGGTTTGAGTAATAATAATTCTTAATTTTATTCTCGGACTTTAAAGACTTAAATGTCTCTTCGATCTCCACACGTAATTGTTTCCATTCGATTTTTCCAGCTGGTGTTTTATTACACCGAATCCAATCTTTAATAAACTGCTTTTCTTCTTCCTTTAGCGCGAGGTGACATACTTTAAAAAAAGAAATGCTTTATTTAATTAAAAGAAAAGTTGTAATTAAAAGATGTAAAATTTTCTATCTTCTTACATTTACTATCAAGAACGTTGGTATAGTGATGACGAATTTGCTTAGCAGTAAATTTACGTGACAACCTTTCTTCAATAATTTTATATCGTTTATGAACGATTCTGTTTTGTTCCATTTCTTTTATGCAATTCAGAATCACCTCATCATCCTTTTAAAAAAATTGAAAATGAAAATGGAAATTATTGTTTAAATTTCTTTTTTTGAAAATTGCTATTTGTACACGGGGTGTTTAAACACATATGACAAATAATATTTTTAGTATAAAAATTTTCTCTGTTCCCAGATTAATTAATAAAAACGAAATATAATTTGGTGTGATAAATAGCAATCTAATCTGTAAACTAACTCTAAACTAATACATAAGTATATATATCACATGATAAACCGTGTTTACTAAGAAATTTCTTCTTTTTAATTTAAAGATTTATAAAATTTTACTTACTTCGTCACTGAACAACAATTGACGACCCATATCAGAAATTTCCTTTAATTTTTTCAAATAAATAAAAGCGGGTATGTATTTTTTTTTTTTTTTTTAAAAAAAAATATAAATTGGAAAATTCTCAAAGAATACAACAATGATTTATATAAAAAATATCGATTTATAAAAATGCGCTTTCAAAGTAATTGTTTGCATCCCATGAGCAATGATACTAATGATACTGGTATATGCGCCCAGGCGATTTTTTTTGATCTGCAGGTTTTATTTTACATTGATCTTAAATATACTAACCAGCATTAAAAGAGGATATATTTACACGGACTCTAATATTTGAGGTTTCCTATAAAGTAATGATGAAAGGTTAATTGATTAAATTAAATAAAGCAATATAAATATTTGTATAAATGCTTCCAATTCAAGCAATTGCAAGGAATTAAACGTTAAATAGTTCTCAGGTTCTTTGATATATTAACATATTTGTAAACACATAAAGAAAATTAAGATAGGTTGAATGTTATGTATATTTACAATAATCGATTGTCGTAATGTAAATTTATTATATTGTACTTGGATCATCATTAATCCGATTATAGCCTTTTTTTTTATAACCATTGACAAAAAGGGAGATAGTATTTGTTATAGATATGTCTATAAATTTAATTTTATTACATTGTCCGAATCGCGAATCGGCAAGGAAAAAAAAGACGACCATGAGATCCGGATTTTTTTTTTTTTTTTTTTTGTCAATAATCCCATATCAGGTGATTCCTAATCCTTTTGTGTTTTCACTTCGTAAAATTCTATCGTTTTTCCTTTTTATTTATATTAACTATTATAAATTTAGCTTTTGACTTAATTCAAATAACTCTTTGTTAAATTACCTTTTTTTTTGAATGGATCTGCCATTTATCCATTTCCATTTATAACCATAAAGTGTGTAATCCAATTCAAATTATTATTAGCCACCAATACATTTGGACAAATTTGGTATAGGTTCATTTAATAGTCGAGCCTTTATTCAGAAAGTACTGTACAATTGGATTCACTTTAAAAAAAAAACTACTGTACATAATTTATTAAAATTACATTTTATATATTGAATTTAGATTATGGTTAATTTTTTTTTTTTGAATAGTGTGTAATATACTTTTAGAAAGATAATTAATTAAGATAAAAAATTATATGTTGAAAAAATTTTCGCTATTTGATTTATGATTATTTTGGCGTGATTGTATTTATCTTTATTAGAGACATTTATTTTATTTTTATATTCATCGTTTTGCACTTCAACTTCTTTTTGCACTTCAACTTTTTGCAATTCAACTTTTTGCACTTCAACTTTCTGTACTTCAACCTTTTGCACTTTATCTTTTTGCACTTCAATTTTAACGTTTTGCACTTCAACTTTTTGCACTTCATCTTTTTGCAATTCAACTTTTTGCACTTCATCTTTTTGCAATTCAACGTTTTGCATTTCATCTTTTTGCACTTCAACGTTTTGCACTTCAACTTTTTGCACTTCATCTTTTTGCACTTCAACGTTTTGCACTTCAACTATTTGTACCTCATCTTTTTGCACTACAACTTTTTGTACTTCTTTTTGCACTTTTATATCTTGCACTTCAACGCTTTGCACTTCATCTTTTTGCACTAAATATTCGATTATCAAATCATCTTGCGATTCAGCTCTAGATTCCCGTGTTAATTGTCTCTGCGCTTTATACCAAAAGTTTTTCAGATCATTTTGCGAACAAGATACACAACGAATTTTCATTTCATTTTGTAAAAGTTTCCATTCAATTGGAGGTTTTTTGCTTAGTTGCTCAACAACCCATTCAGAAATAAATTCCTTATCTTCATTAGAGAAAATATCATGATTTCTATTAAATCCGAGTTTATGGATTTTCAATGATAGGTCTTTGAGAGAGCTATTTATAAATTTCAAGAAATCGGTTTTGATTTTATGAGAACGAATTATACGTTTCAAGAAATCTTTATAATTCATCTAAAGAGAAAAAAGAAAAAAGATAGAATGGTTTATTAAATAATTTCTTTCATAAAAAATTATTTTTTTTAACAGCTAATAAAAATTATCTAACTTACGATTTTGATTCCTTCTGCAAGATACATTTTTAATCCTTCTTAAAGATACTTTTGCAATTCTTTAAAAAAAAAGGTGCGAAAAATAAAAAGAAATTCGAAGTCCTGACACTAACTTTATATATGAAAATCGATCAAAGCAAATCCTTTTACCAATCTAATCACAAAAGGATTGACAAACATTTGGATTGGATTTGTTTATGTAAATTGTTTTTGATTATGCATCAAACATGGACTAAATTGCGATCCCTTTTATGTAATAGCTTTGAATTATAATTCATTTCACCTGATTATGCAATTTATGCGATCTTTGTGTTTGACTTTTTATAATGACAATCCATGGCAATTGTTATATTTAATGCATAATGGAACGGGTTAAAACTCAACAATTAAAAAAAAAAAATGACCCGATTCAAAGAGAAAATATTTATTTATTTAATTACTTATAGGAAAAAGAAACCTTGCCATATTTATCCACAATAAAAAAAAAAGCATTACGTTAAAATAAATTCCAAATAATAAAATATGGTCAATAAAATGAGTGTTTACGAAAAATAATGACAAAAATGGTCGTTGAAGTCAATTTCATATCAAAATTCATTTGACATTGGCTTACGCCAAATGCTGATCTTAATCCAATTCAATTCAATCCAATCCAATCCAATCCAATCCAATCCAATCCAATCCAATCCAATCCAATCCAATCCAATCCGCTTTTGGTCAAGTCAATCCTTTTTAATGTTTAAATAATAACGTTAGGATATAATTTTCTCAAAAATGCAGAAATTACTACCATATCATACCATACTTGTCTTCGCAATACTGACACTTGTACGGCATGTATACATTGCCAATATGCATACAATTTAAAGTTCAGTTAGAAATTCAAATAGAGCTTCGTTTGATTATATTTCTTTAACTCTTTATGTTAATTGAAATGAATTTCGAAATTGACAATCTTATTATTTATAATCGGATATTCGAATATAATTGAAAATAAAATAAAAATAAGTTACTAAATCATCCATTAATCGATCAATGAATACATTCAATTTGTTAATAAGGGGTTTGGGTCTTAAACACCGAATACTGAAATCTTGAATAGCCCAAATCCTGATAATACCAGTTCAAAAATCCCGATACCTACCGTAATTTTATTGATAAAGTGATTATTACATCATTTCGTTTAAAATTAAGTCATAAGAAAATTAATTATACAATAATATATTTTAAGCTAATAAATAAAACCTTAAATAATACTTTTTTTTTTTTACATTTACCTAAATTATAGTAACTTGTTTCTATATTTTCAAAATAATATGTGTAAAGATAGTAATTATGGAATAGTTTGCTACTAAAAAGTTTTCAAAAATCCCTACTTTTAGGTTGATTTTAAAACTTTTATACTTTTTACCCCGGGCTTGTTTAAAAGGGTTAATTAATAGTTATCCAAAAAAAAAAATTTCTAGTGAGTAGTTAAATAATTTATTTTTTTTTCATTTTTCGTGATATTAGATTTTTAATCCTTGCGATTTGACCAAAGGTTTCTTTTTTTATTGTTGCAGTATTATATTGGTTGTACTTTCATCTATATTTTAAATAATCGTAGTTTGCATTACCATTAAAAAATTGCCGATATCTTGAAATATAGTTTTTTATTGAATAAAGCAATTCGTCTTCTATGAATATATTAATAAGTTGTTAAGATTTTCTTTCCAGTAGATTTTTCTAAAAATTTGTTAAATAATATTATTAAGCTTATCACAAAAAGTAAACAAATTTACCTTTTTCGTGGTTCTTAAAATGTGGTTCTTCATTTTTTTTAAAAGAATTTAGTATAATGACGAGAAAGAGAATGATAATGAAACTTCTCTTCATAATTTTAAGTCAACATCATAAAATCACACAATAACTTATAAGTAAAGGTGTGACAAATTTAGAATATTTCGGATAATGATAATGTCGGATCCCATTATTAAGTACTTTTTATTAACAGAAAAGAAAAAATCAAGGAAATGAATTTGTAAATTATATATAAATAATGATTATTTTATATTTTTTTCTTATATTAAAACATTTTACTTTAAAATATTACACTTCCATAATTTATTTGAAATCCATTAAAGCATTTAAAAGCGTTTAAAAATACTCAAATGTACCAAAATTATACCAATTTTTGTATTATTTTTTGGTTATGTTTCAGGTATTCTGTTAATGGGCACTAAGTAACATTTATGGAAAGCGAAAAAAAAGGAATGAGATATCAACTAGCTTAACAAACATGTGCACCTAAAATTCAAATTAACCCGCCCAATAAGAAAACAAGCACATAATAAAATAATTAATAAAAAGATTGTACTCTGTTAAAAGGAAAAAGAATTATTATAAGAAGGGGAAAAGTTAATGATCGAAACATTTTTCTCCATTTAAAAAGAGATCGACCATTGTTATAGATCGAAGCACTAGATTCCTTTTCTCCATTTTCATCATTTAAAAGAGAGGTAACAGGGATTCGACCATCATTTTTGATCGAAGCACTAGATTTCTTTTCTCCAT